ACAAGTGGCGTGGTCCCTACACCTGCCAGAAATTCTCAGCAGCATAGAGAGACAGATTATCTACCATTGCTGCCTGTCCTCCCACATCTCCTCAGAGCTTTTTCACACTAGCCTGTAAACTGCTCATATTTAGCTAGCTCTTGCTTTCCTTACCTCCCTGAGAAGCTTTGCCTGCACGAGGACTGCACAGCATTCCCAGTCAGCCTGCAGGACTCAGTATGGCACTACTGGCACATAAGGCTCCCTCAGCACATTATGCCACAGCAGGCAATGTACTTACTTGCCTGCTTATTGACAAAAAGGGAAAAAAAAAAAGATTACCTTCCCCACTGAGCTTTCATGCTCTTGGTACAGATTTATGCTAGAACACAAATGATCTGAGTTACAGACGTGCCCTTTACAAAATCTGTTTAGGAAAAAGTGCAGGGAGAGATTATAATCTGGAAACAATCTCCAGTGATTGACTGCAGTTGTCTTCTCAGCAACAACAACAAAAATAAGACAATTGGATTAAATCAAGTTAAAAAACAAAAGGCTGAGTTTTAATCTCAAAACCAGCAGCACAAGCAAACGAGTGGTGTCTTCCTTCTTCTACCTCTTGCTCTCTTCACCATTCATATAGATGTGTATGTGGTACAGAACTAATGCTCTGCCTAGAGAGTGCACATTGAGGGATTGCTGGAAGTAAAATTACAACAGAAAGTTCAAATTCAGCACTAAAATATGTGGGCTGGCTACCCTCCCTGCTGCCCTCCAGACCACGACCATGCTTGGGTACATAATTGGTCCTGTACAAAATTGCCTGAAGAGAGGGAAAAGCCAACTTATCCCAGAGCCTATTTTTATTATTCTCTTTCCAAGTTTTCCACCTCTGCTGTCAGTCACCACCCCAAGAAGGAAGTCTCAGCACTTTCCCAGATCATGATCCCCTGAGCTCACCCTACAGTGACTTGGTTGTTCCTCTTCCTGCTGCACTGGCAGCACCGTGATGCTGGTCAGATTCCCTTGTTCCTGGATGCATCATTCCAAGCATGAGATAAAAGCATTCCTGTGTACAGCTCTGCTCCTGATTTCCACTGTTCTTGAAACCGACTCATTTCATGCTTTGGTGTATGGGCTGAAAGCAAGAAAGCTCCAAAGGAGAGAAGCAAATATAATGCAAAGATAATACAAATTAAGGGCCCCTTCACTTCATAGAAACATAGAACGGTGTGAGTTGGAAGGGACCTTTAAAAATCATCTCATCCCAACCCCCCTGCATGGGCAGGGACACCTCCCACTCCCACAGCTCAGGGCAGGGACCACCCGGTGCACTGACATTTCTTTAAACCCACTGCAGGAGGAAGGTGAAAGGCAGAAAAAAGCAGGAATGAAGCCCAGGCCAGGATCACATCCCGGGTACCACACCTTGAAATGGAAAGGTGTGACAACCACAGCGGCTCGGATGTTCCCTCTGGAATGTAACCCAGGAGAGAGTGTTTCCTTGGCACCGTTTGGCAGCTGGGAGCAGCACACAGTCTGGATGAGCCAACCCTGCCTTGAAGCCTGGAAGAGTTAGAGTTTGGGCCACTTGAGTTTGTTTTCCCCTGGCCAAGGCACAGGGATAACTGTCCACTCTGGCTGAACGACAAAGCCCTGTGCTTTGGGATGAGGGAGCTGCTGATTTCCCTCCCTGTCCTGGCACAGCACGGCCGAGCTGCCCAGCTGCTTCCCACTGAAGTCAGTGCCCTGCTTCTGGAAAGAGGAGCCCAAAGACCCCGCCGTGACTCCTCGCGCCACCCAGAAAGCCAAATAAAATCCAAAAAAAGCACCAGAGCTGCCATCCCGGCGGCCGCACGGGGGCTCTGAGCTCCAGAGAAAATCCAACCATGGGTTTTCCTCTCTGGAGAGCCTGCACAAAGAGCCTCCCGGCAGCAAGCGGGTTGGGCAGCTCCAGGTACCCAGCGGCCCAGTGCCTGTGCAATGGGCCTGCACCCCTGGCCGTGCAGGGAACCGCTCCCTGCACAGGCTCTGGGAAGCAGGAAACTCTTTTTCCTGTCGTCCCATGAAGAATTCAAACCCGTACCCTGCCAACCAGACCGCTGAAGGCCGCAGCTCCCGGGGAGCACTGGTGCCCACACTGCACGTCGTGTCTGGGCTTCGGAAGTCGTTGTGTTCCCTTCGTGTGAAACGTGCTGGGAAAGCCCCGTAAAGCCGGGGTGCAAACCCACCCACCCTCAGCCGGGGAAAGCTCTTTGGAGAGGGAGAGACGGGAATGCCGGGCACCTCGCGGGAGAGGAGCCGCGTTTCTAGGATGAAGGGAGCCGGAGGGGAAGCACTTGCCCTGCTGGCAGTGGCGTCCTGTGGCGTCCTGTGGCGTCCTGCTGCTGCGGCCTGCCCGGGCACGCGCAGGGGCCTGCAAGTGCCATTGTTCATTAACGGCCACAGTTGTTCCAGTTGTTCACTCGTGGTCTTGTCAGTGCTGGCTGACACAGGGGGACACCTGGGATCCAGTCCTCACACCTGGGATCCAGCCCAGAGGACACTTGGGATCCAGCCCCGGAGGACACTTGGGATCCAGCCCCTGAGGACACTTGGGATCCAGCCCCGGAGGACACTTGGGATCCAGCCCTGAGGACAGT